CGGACTCGTACAGGCTGTGCAGCGGCACCCACAGCAGGAGGAGTAAGAGTACCTGTGTCGACAGTTGAAGCACAGTTTTTTTAAAATAAAGTGCTTTTTGTTTTTCATTCTTCAAAAAGTAGAGCTCCGAAAAACGGAGCTCTGCTTGCGGAGAACCCCTTCTTGTACTGCTTGTCACAGGTGGTCCACTTGAAAAAACTACTGCCGACGTCAGTGAAGAGTATGGTGCAGATTTGGCTGCTTGTGAGGACCATGGTGGACAGGAGGAGCGAGACACTCAGAGGACATTGGTGGTTGATCTCGATAATTCATGTGTAAATAATGTACAATTCAAAAATGAATTGAGCCGACAGAATTAATAATTGAATTAAAGTATTCGAATGTATTCTAAAGGGTATTATTTTTTCAGGAGCCCTGCCGTGACGGCAGCTTCGCTAGCAATGGCATTGATCTGGTCACGCTACCCGACGACGCAGAAGTCTTCGCCGACGTCGTGGAAGCAGCGCACACTCTGTACGACAAGAAGAAGCCAGAGGTAAAAGAATTTGCTCGCAGTTGTGCGGGCATTGCAGCTCTCGGTGTTCGAGGATGACGAGGCCTATTCCGCAGGCAGAGATCCACTGAGCCACTGAGCCTTCTGGAGGATATCGGTGAGTGCGGCGAATTCAAGGAAAAGCCGCTGGTGCTAAAAGTACCGAACAACCGCGCCACGGTGCCATTGGAGCAGCACGATTTGCGTCGTGATTTCAACATGCTGATTGAATATTCCCCTGGAAATGCTGGTGGGGTCCCTTCTGATATTATATCTCTTCGCGCCGAGACCGTCAAGCAATTTTACAACTTGCTCTTTCCTGACACTGGTTGTTGTGGATCCGGGCACCTCCGAAGGCTGGGAAGACGGCCATGTTTCATCTACTAAACAATTACATCATACGATTCAACAAGGTATATGCCCGAGTTGTGTTTTCAAGCCGACAAAATGAAACCTGGAGAGACCATATCGACCTGTTTCGGCCGTTTGTATGATCATGATTTCGGACTGTTCTTCGAGAGTAAATTTGAGAAGGTGGTGCTCATTGATGAGGCCCAGCTCACGTACAATGACCGTCAATTATGGGTTGGATTAGTGGATTCCACCGGAATTTTTTTTCGGTCTTGATGCGTCACCATCGAAGCCTGGAATGAGACTCGCGTATGCAGAGTTGAATGAGATGGTGCTGGGAGTAGATTCGGACAAGAAACGTCCGACTCCATTTGGAACCTCAGCTCCGGCCACATTGGAATGGCGATGCTGATGTTTCTAAACGCGGAATTTGGGCCAGATGACGCTGTCGAGTGCAGTAAGATCGAGTCAGCGCTTCGATCGCTGAAGCTGCTCGAGTACATTTGCCGTTCCGAAGGAGGTATACTGAGCCCTGAAGCTATTTGCAAAATGGTCAATACTGAAAACCTATCGGATGACATGGTGAACACAAGTCTGGAAGACGTTGCTTATGGTAAAGTCATGTTACCATCGTCAGCATTTTGGAGAACTTCTCGCATCGAGGCACTGGAGAGTTTGACTCGCTACGGCTTCCTCTACGCTGAGGACAGTCAGCATCTACACTTTTCGTCGAACATGCACTTGAAGATCTGGTTCTACTTCACATCATTGACGGCGAGTCTCAGGCCAAAAAGAGGAAAGTGTGGGTGCGATGTATAGACGAGCAGACCCAGGGCAGCGCCGTGGCTCCCGTGAATCCAATACTTAAATTAATACATCACGTCGAAGGACAGAAATTATTGATTCAATAATTCCATTAATTGGTGCCAATTCGTGCACGCACCTGCT